TCGGAGAGAGAGAGTTCACCGTGAGAGGCCTCTGGTTTGGGTCTCGTGGAACTATCCCAAAAAGAACAAGGAGCTTCCTCGAGGAACTAGGTGTCGACATTAAGGACGTAGCGAGGTTGGCTGAAAATATAGTCCTCGACTCCCTGGGAATCATTCACCACCACGTGCATGGCTAGCCCGAGAATTTTAATTTATGTATTTGTTTATTTATTTGGTGAATAATTGAAAACAATAGAGATAAAGAGAGAGAAAGGGAAACTTCATGTTAAATAAAGAAAAAAAAAAAAAGCATGAACAATGAAAGGAAGGAAAAAGGAAAAAAATAAAAGAAGAGAAGAATAGTTGGTGTGCTCAGTCAAAAAAGGAAGGCAAAAAATAAATTATAATATTTATTTTTTACATATGCCGACGTTTCGACCTGAAGTTCAGGCCATCATCAGGGCTAAGAAAATAACCAGATAACAAGGTATGAGAAACATAAGTAATGATGGTAAAAAAGATAATAAAAAATGAGAAAAAAAATAAAAAAATTATAAGAAAAATAAAATAGATAGATATAAAGTAAAATGAAATTGTTAGAATAATGACTAAGAACTAAGAGATAAATAATAAAAACTTTTACATAGTGTGGAATGATGAAGTAGGCATAATCAAAAAGGGGTGACAAAAGTGTTACATTGGGAATCTTAGAATAAAATGTAAAAACATAAAAAAGAAATATAAAGTTATATAAGAAATGAAAATAAAATAAATAGTAAAATTAAAAACATTGAGAATGGAGTAGTTAGATAGAAAATTGAGATATTGTAAAGTCTATCAAGATGTACAGACAATGTATAATATAATAAAGAGTTAACAACAGAGAAAAGGAATGAAAGGAAGGAGTGAAGAAATTGAGAAAGCTGAAATAAGAAATAAATAAAAGAAATACTACCTTTCTCCTTAAGTGTCAAGGGGAGAATAAAGTCGTTACAAGGTAGGGGGAGAGAGAAGGGATGTGGAGGTGGCGTCATCTCTAACGGTTATCGGACGAAGTTTGAACTAAACGCTAGAAGCCTAAATAGGTACGAGAGATATATTATTTAGAAAAATTATGGAATATTGAACGAAAGTTAATAGAAAGTGAAAGAAAAATTCAAAAGAAAAATAACTATTGAGTAATAAGGAAGAAAAATTGAAATAAAAATATATCATATATACATAAATATATATACATACACATACATACATATACATACACGCATATATATATATATATATATATATATATATATATATATATATATATATATATATATAAGGGAGTTGTCAGCAAAAAGGAAAGGAATATAACTATGGATGTTTTAATAAATTCAGAATTTGGGAATAGGCTAAAGAAAAGTTATTTTTGTCAGATTTAAGATTCACTGTCTTTGGTTGAAGCTGGATGTGGAGGGTTTCAGAAATGAGTCGTTTGTCATGGTTGAGAACTGTGGCAAGGATGGATGTTTTGTCGAAATCAAATGAATGATTGAGGGAGAGAGAATGTTCGGATAATTTGGAAGCGTTAAAATTACGAGAGGATACAGAATATTTATGTTGGGTTATGCGGTCTTTTAGGAGATTTTTGGTTTCACCAATATAGGATGAAAAACAATTGGGGGTAGAACATGGAATACGGTAAACGATATGAGAGCGGTGTGAGAAAGGAACCGGATCTTTTAGGGATGTGTATAGTTTTGAGAGAGTGTTGTGAGATTTGAATGCAAGTCGTAAGTTAGGGTTAGTAGATCGTAAAACTTTGTTGATGTTGTCTGAAAGGTTAGGAATATAAGGTAGAGATCTGTATATAGGGGCTGAAATGGGTTGTGGAGAATTAGTGGAGGTTGAGATTAAGGAAGAGCGATTATTGTGGTCTGTTATGAGTTTGTTAATAACATGGAGAGGAAAATTATTGTTGGACAGGATCTGTTTTATGCGTTTGGTATTGGTAACATGAAGTTGGGGATCAGAGAGGGAGAGACTACGGTGGATGAGATTTTTCGCAACGTTAATTTTTTGGTGGTAGGGATGTTTAGAATGAAAATTTAGGAGTCTGCCAGTGTAAGTTGGTTTAGTGTACCAGTCTGTGGATATGGTGTTATTGGGATTTTTAATGATTAGAAGGTCGAGAAAAGGGAGAGAATTATTGAGTTCGCGTTGTACTGTAAAATTGAGGCGGGGGTGGTAAGAGTTAAAATGTGATAGAATATCAGGAATTTTATTTGGATTGATGATTAGGAGGATTTCTTCTCTTCATTATCCACGACAGTCAACCAATTACCAATTATAAAAAAATAAAAATGTATATGTATATACATCTATTTTACTAATATTAACTAATACTTCTGTATATTTATATATAAGTTCATATATTGTCCTAAGGATAGAAGAGTATGCTGTGTATATAGCAACCCAATATAATTGGGCAGCAATCCTTTACATTTTATATTTTATGAAAATAAAGTGTTTCTCTCTCTTATTGTATATATTGTAACGTTCCTCTCTCCCTCCAAAATCAAACAACGAGTTTCCTTTTTCAATATACTATTTATTTTGACATATAATATAAATCTCAGGTTAGGTTCTGACAATTGAACACTCATTCAACATTAAATAACTATAATTTACTAATTACTAAATACACTTATTTATAATTTAAAATATTTTATAAAATAATTTGTCCCGGTCTAAACTTTTGGTTCTATCCCTCTGTCAACATAAATGGCATTGTTAGCACTCACCCAAATGTTTACGCCTGCCAGCGAAATAATCTCTTCTTACTTACGAATGTCCCGTTTTCTGTACCACTTAATTATTTTCTGCTATGTGGTTTTCTTCCAACATAAAATAATCTTCACTGGTGGCCTCTATCAACACTCGAACCGGCTAGGACTCCTTTTTCTATTTTCTCAACTTGCTGGCTAGTACCTCCTCTCTTGACAGCTTGTCACATTTTCTCTTGGCGGCTCATAACCTTCTCTCTTGGCCGCTAACACCTTCTCTCTCGGTGGCCCGTCACATTCTGAGATACATGAGGCTTGCTTCCCCCACTTCCTCCCCGTAGTTAGCGCCGTTACCACCCTCGCGCCACTATTCAAATGCCATGTAATGTTGACATTACAATATATTATTTTTCTGTATAGTTTATTTTTATTTATTGTACATAGAGTGTGAATGTGGTCTCTGAACACTATTATAAATGTCCTTTGAGACACATTGTAGTATTTCTCAAAAAAAAAAAAAATAATAATATCGACATTAAAAACCCGTTATATGTATACATCTATTTAAAGTTTTCATATACAGTTTTATGATATGTTTTTAAAAACTTGATTTTTTAAAATAATCTCCATTTTGAAATTACATCACTGCGATTTGACTTATTTGAGTTTTTCGGATTTCTTTCGTATGAGGGTCCATTTCTATGTTTTTGGAGCCGCAGTTTTTGAAAATGATGTCCATTTTCAGATTACATTAGTGCATTTTGACTTATTTGAGTTTTTTCGGATTTCATTCATATGATTGTCTATTTATATGTTATATGTTGTTATTTATATAATTATCTTTTACATTTAAAATGTGTTGCAAATAAGTAAAAATGCAGTGGCCTAATCATAAAATAGACACCATTTTCAGACAAACATATAAATTATAAATTGACCCTTATATCAATGAAATCCGAACAAGTCAAAACGCAGTGGCGTAATCTCAAAATGGACATCTTTCTCAAAAACTACGGTTCCAAAAACATAAAAATAGACCCTGATATGGAAGAAATCCGAAAAACTCAAATAAGTTAAAACCCAGTGATGTAATCTCAAAATGAAGAATATTTTTAAAAAGCAGGCACACAATAACTTTATACTTACATTGAATAAATCCGAATAGGTACAATAGATCGATATCCAAAAGATTAACATAAAATCGACAATATCGCAGTGGTGTAATCTCAAAAGGGACATCTGTTTCAAAAACTACCGCTATCCAAAAAACTCAAATAAGTCAAAACGCAGTGATCTAATCTGAAAATAGACATCATTTTCAAAAGCTATGGCTTCCGAAAACATAGAAATGGACCCTCTTACGAAAGAAACCTGAAAAATTCAAATAAGTCAAAACGCAGTGATCTAATCTGAAAATGGACATCATTTTCAAAAGCTACGGCTCCGAAAACAGAAAACGACTCTCTTACGAAAGAAATCCGAAAAAAACTCAAATAAGTCAAAACGCAGTGATGTAATTTCAAAATGGAGATTATTTTAAAAAATCAAGTATATTTTTAAAGACATATTTATAAAACTGTGTATAAAAATTGTAAATAGATGTATTCATATAACGGGATCATAATGTTGATTTTATTTAAAAAAGAAATCTGAAATTTGTTATTAGTAGTGAGTTAAACAATTTAAAATCTATATTTAACAATATTTTTGTTATTAGAACAATGGCACATCAATTAATATAATTTATATATTTAACTATAGGCATATGATACTTGAAACTATAATTTATAATAGGGCGTAAGTAAGGTACTCAATGTAGCGCAGGTCAGCTATTTGAGTAAAATACTCAAAGTTGAGCAGTTCACATTTGAGTAAAATACTCAGATGCGAGAAAGTTGAATATATGAGTACAGTAATTAGAATCGGGAGGTTAATAGTTGAGTAAAATATTTGGGACTCGGTACTCACTTTGGCATTTGCCCTTCTCTGGCCCCAAAGTAGTAGCGCAGTACATGCCTACACAGAGCACATTTTTGCAGACTGAACCAACACAGTGTATCCACCACTGAATCACCAAAAACCATTTTACAGTACTCTTTTTTAAGTCAAATAAAGCAAACAAAATGATCCTTTGCTTTTCAATGTTTACTTCCACCAAATATTCTAATTTTATTGACCTAATATAAGAAGTTAAACTTACTTAATAGTTCAAATACCAGAGCCAGTACCATCATAAGGAAATAATGTATAACTTACCTCATCAATAAAATAGCACCCTGGTTCAACTGTGACAACCATGCCAGGTTCTAATTTTCTTACTGTTCTCAAAGTATTAAAACCACGTTTAGTGGGACGTTGGGGAGTATTGTTGGTGTACCCTCCAACATCATGAACATCAATTCCTAATAAATGACCAAGTCCATGTGGTTGAAAAACAGCACCTAAGCCAGCCTGAAAATTTGGTTCATTATAATCTTCACTAGTAGCTTCTTTTTTTTTTTTAGCAATTTCACATTATGAGAATTACAATAAATAAGAAAACTTTAAATATCAATGTAAGGCATAACATAATATAAACATTAGCCTATTATTACTAATTGGTTTATGTCAAATAATGAGCAGGGTTGAAAAATATTACCCAGTGAAGTTATTCTATTCAATTATTATTCATTGTAATAATTAAAGCTTTAGGTAGATCACAGCAATCAACTCCCATTCCTTATGTTCACTGAAGAAATTAGAAGTCCCCAAAGGGTGATGTGAGTGGAAGTACATTTGATAACGTCCTAGCCAATGCCCAACTTACAGATTCAATAGCTATCAATGAATCTCATCTATTTTGCTTTAATTTCTTATTAAATAATCCTGCGGCCAAATATCTATATGGTCTAAAGCACCAATCGAAAAAAAAAAAAAAAATGGATGATCTTATCAAATTTCTACTTAAAGAAAGTTATGTCAAGCTAAAAATAAATTTTAGTATTGCCATTCTGAGCCAGATATTCTCTATGATCTGACCATCAAGGAGGCATACAATTCAAAGTTCAAGGTGACCATTTTTCTGCCCTAAACCAAGATAAAACCTATTTTTTCTTCTATCATTACATTAATAAAAAAAGAAAGAAAGTGAATTTTATTCTCGAACATTTATTTCCTTCATAATTAACATAATGAACAACAAAATGACAATTGTCTGGCATTAGAATACAATTAAAAATAAATAAATTTATAAAATTGACTAAGCCTAATATTAAAATAAAGAAAAGACAAGGTAGAAGAGAAGATATATGATCTTGAAGTAGAAATATGAATTTAAAGATAAATACATACAAGTGAGTTCACGTATTTCTAGAAATAAGCAATATAGCACATACATAGATATCTGCAAGATGTCAGTAAAATGTGGCTGGCATCTCTAAAAAAATAATAACATTATTTTTACATATATTCAGAAGATTGATTACTGAGGAGATGGAAAAATAAATGGTGTTTAAATGAGGATCTATTCGATTCATCTATTCTATACGATAATAGAATTAATCCAAAATACCACATCAGTTTGGTTTAGCTTTTCCCTCCACATGTGGAGGGGACAGGATTGGTTCGGAGATCACCTGGCAAATTGTAAATAATGTATGTTTTATATAAGGTGTTTGTTTTACTTTTATTTCTATTTTTATTTACTTATGTGTATATACATATTTTTTTTTTCTTTACTCTTTAGTTCTTTCTTCTTATTCTTTTGTTATTACTTTATTTATTTATATTTTTGTATATACGGTATGAATGCAATCTCTGAACTCTATTATAAGTGTCCTTAACTGTGACAAATTGTAATATTTCTGAATAAAGTGTTTTAATAATAAAAAGTTTGGTTTAGACCTCAGTACAGAGAGTATGATAGAAGTTCAACTAGTTTTATAATCAGTGATTTTAACAGTTTTTAGATGGAGTTTTGTTATAGTTTTTGGCTAGAACCAACTATTAATTGTACTGTATCCATAGACAGAAATGAATCTTCACTACACCCACGTCTCGTATGTTTTTTTTTCCTCACATATTTTATAATTTAGTTATTTCACACCTATCAAGATGGTTCTATGCCCAATTTGCAGACAGACCATAGTTAGAGAGGAAAAAAAAAACATTAGCATGTTCTATTACAACATGTCAAGCTATTTTTCATGGCAAATGCTTAAACACATATGAGACTGAATTTAAAGAAATAAGGGCAGCGAGAAAAATTAGGTATGTCCGAAATGTGAAAAGGCCCAGAAAACTATCCAAACGGCAGATAAGTACTCTAGCCCTCCAAGATCGGCACCACAACATTTAACTGTCGACGCCTCATTCCAATCGCTACTTTCTGCCATTAAAGACCTTACAGAAGAAGTCAAGAGATTAAAATTCTCCCTCGATGCCAATGCTAACGAGGTGAAAGAACTAAAAATATCCCTCGAAAAGCAAGCCTCTATCACTTTCGAGAATGCGGTGAAACTGGATACTATTGAGTCACTACTGGAAGCTTAAAATTCTAAGATCGATGGACTAGTCCTGGAAAACACAACCCTCAAATCTCGGGTCTCAGAGCTCGAAATCAGGCTCGACGAAAGTGAGCAACTGCACTTTTCCAGGTCAATAGAAATAAGAGTCCCAGTGAGATCTGGGGAGACTCCCGTGGGCCTGGTGATGAGCACAGGGGCAGGCCTGGGCCTGAGTTTAAAGGTGGAGGATATAGACTGTGTAGAACGGATAAGATCCAGGCAAGATGATATGCCCTGGCCACTTTTGGTAAGGTTCGTCCGGCAGTTGCTTAGGGGTGAGTTGGTCCAGAGGCGAAAGGTTATAAGGGACTTTTCAACACAACACCTCGGATGGCAAGAAAATGATACCCACAAGATTTACCTGAGCGAAGCTATTTCCATAACTAACAGACCTATTACCACAATCCTCTTCTGATGTCATGACGCCTTCAGTGAGCAGTGCTGCACTTCTTCCAATCTCTTTGGAAATCAATCGTCTAGGCTCGATACAAATATTGTTTTAGTTGTTAAAAAAACAGATGATAAAAAAAGAGACAGTTTTTAGTATGATAGAAAGAATCACGGTTTTTGTCCTAAACGTAGAAGTGTATAATTTTACCTAGCGGCATAACAATTGTCTGGGCCCATTGTGGTATTATTATCTGTTCTGGAGTTGCAACTCTTTTAAGTATTTGTTAATTTGGCAAGCATAATTTTATTTTTGTATTTTTCCTTTATAAAACTTGATCTTTTTTCCTCTCTTCATTCTGTAATTAATTTTTTGAAGCTGAATTTTCTCATTCTGTATAACGTTATTTTTCTTTTGTATTTTTGTTCAAACTTTGTTACTCAGGGCTTTTGTATTGTTTTTCCAAAAATTAAATTGTATATATATCAAATATGATATCAAATCAAAATGGCTTCTACTTCGTAAGCTTTCCCTCTGTGAACCTTTTAGATCCCCTTCCTCAGTTTTCCCAATATCACCTGATGACCTAAACTCCCACTTTATATCGGTTTCCACCTCTTCTTTACCCTCCCCTTCCGGCTTTTCTCCAGAGGTACCTTTTAATGACAATAATTTTTATTTTTCCGACATTTCTCCCACAGACCTTATTACCGTTATAATGAAATCCCGTTCCAATTCCGTAGGCACAGATGGCATTCCTATCAAACTAATAAAATTATGTCTCCCTGAAATCCTCCCAGCACTCCTTTTCATCTACAATTTCTCCCTGCAGAATTCAATATTCCCGACCTCTTGGAAAAAAGCCATTGTCCTTCCTTTAAACAAAAAGCCTAATCCATCCTCTCCCGAAGATTTCCGCCCAATATCAATCCTTTCCAATCTTTCTAAACCCCTAGAAAGGTTAGTGCAATCCCAAGTTTCCAACTTCCTTGAACAATGCAACCAACTCGATCCTCTCCAATCTGGCTACTCTACACAATCTGCTCTGATTAAAATTACCAGTGATATTCAGACTGCAATAGATGACAAAAAACTAACCATACTTATACTTCTTGATTTCTCCAAAGCTTTTGATTCCATTATCCATTCCATCCTTTTCAACAAATTAAAATCATTATCCTTCTCCAATAGTTCCATCTCTTGGTTCCAGTCTTTTCTCTCACAATGAACCCAAGCAGTTTCCATACCTAATCAACCTCTATCTGCCTACCTTCCTTTATCCTCTGGAGTTGCACAGGGTTCAAGCATGTCTCCTCTTCTTTTCAGCTCTTATATTAATGACCTAAATGATTCAATTATCCATTGTTCCCACCACCTTTATGCAGACGATTCTCAAATCTATTTATCCTTTTCTCCCGCTGAGTTATTGGTGGCATTTGCCAAAATTCAAGAAGATTTAGATCGAATTAGTGCCTAGGCCAACTTAAATGGATTAAGGCTAAATGCTGCCAAAACTCAGGCCATTCTCATTGGTTCCAAGCCCCTTCTTAGATCCCACATCAACTTTCCCTCACTCTATCTAAACAAACACCCCATCACCTTCTATCCCTTTGTTAAAATTTAGGCTTTCTCATAGATCAAACCCTTTCCTGGAATCACCATATCTCTCATATATCCCGCCGTGCAATTTCTACCCTCAAACTATTCCATCACTTCCGCCATCTTCTACCCCAAAATACCCGTAGACTCCTAGTTTCCTCTCTCATCTTTCCCCACTTTGACTACAGCTGTGTGGTGTACGATGGCCTCTCGGTGGAACTCCGTGATAGACTCAAAAGACTTATGAATAGCTTTGTAAGATTTGTAATTGGGACCCCAAGACGCTCCCGTGTCTCCCATCACTACACTGAGTTAGGGTGGCTCTTCCCCTCCTTAAGAAGACAATATTTCCTAGGCACTTTCCTTTATCAAATCATTAGTCTGACTAGTTAGTAAATCTAGTCAGGATGTGCTTGATGGAAACACTCAATAAAGTTAGAATTGGTAATAATCTATCCAAAAAGTTTGAGGTTCGTTCGGGTTTAAAACAGGATGATTACCTTTTGCCTGTCCTGTTCAATTTGGCATTAGAGCATGCCATTAGGGATATAATGCATACCCAAAAAGGATTGAATCAGGGTGGGACAACACTTGTGCTTGGCTATGTGGATGATCTGGTCTTGTTAAGCGAAGACATGGAAACTATAAAACTAAATACGACAATGTTAATGAAAGCCAGTAAAGAACTAGGGCTTGAAATAAACACGGATAAGACAAAATATATGGTTAGCTGTAAAAATGGCGATATTACTGGTGATATAGAAGGTAATATGTTTGAAAAGGTAGAGAAGTTTAAGTATCTTGGGTCTATGATAACTAGAAAAAACGAAATTGAAGAGGAGATTAAGGTTAGGCTGAAGGTGGGAAATGCTTTTTATTTTTCTGTGACAAAACTACTTAGTTCGTGCACCTTATTCCGG